ATACTAAGACCTGGTATAAGGCTTGGTGACTCTACCTGAAATGTTTACTTGCAGCTCAAATCCCTGACTGATACTCATTTCTATGGTACAGATGCCTTTGGCATGATAAAGAGACAGTACTGAGGATCAACAGAGACCAGAGAATAACAAACTCCTTAAAAACCCTAGTATTCAAATTTGCTTCAAGTTACATATCACTCCCATGATGCCCAATTCATGTCAGTTCCTAACAGGATATTGGAGAAGACTCCAAGAGAACTGTAGAGGACCTCCTCCCCTGAGGGTGTGGAAGCACTATTGTGAAAACAGACCTATAGAAGGGGAAACTGGAGGACACATCATTTCCAGAAACACACAATCTGTACCCATTCCTCACCAGTTACACTGCTACAGTCAACATTGACAATGATCACATGCACATAAGTTCTCTCAGTCTTACTCCAAGATCCATGAAAACACCATCACACAGGATCCTCCAACACCCACCCATTTCACAGTTAAAAGTCCTCCATTGATGAACAATTGGTAAACACCACTCGTGGTTACCCAACAGTAGCACTACACGGCCACAAATTCACCACTTTATATTCCAGGGACACTGAAATGACAACACCCTCCTTTGCACGACAACTGGTTAACAGCTAAATTCCTATCCAATCCACACAACACTCAAAAGAGTCTCAAGGGTTGGGGATGTGGCTCAAGCGGTAGCATGCTCGCCTGGCATGCTTGCGGCCCGGGTTCGATCCTCAGCACCACATACCAACAAAGGTGTTGTGTCTGCCGATAACTAAAAAAATAATAATAATAAAAAAAAAGAGTCTCAAAGTTTCACAAAAGCACTACTATCACACTATAATAGTCAATATAAATTCCCGATGCACAAAAACGAAGATCGCTATATCCACTCCCCCTTACCACCAACGCAAATGGGCAGCACAGGCAATCACAATCACATTCCCACAGTCGGATCATCACACTCACAACCTGGACAATACAGACGACCTTCTCCACATATACAGAGTAAATAGCATAGGCAACAGACACAGTCACATAAACCCGTGCACATAGTTGCAAACGGCCAAACGTAATCCTCCTGGCACAATCACACGCAACGCAACATAGACAACTAGTGGCGAGCATGCACACAGTTGTCGCCCTGCGCTGGCTCTGTCACCTGAAGCCCGGGAGATTACCGCCTCAGTCGGGTGCTCAGTTCCTTCTTGCCTCTCCCGGTCTGTTCAGTTGGGTTCTGTCTCAGCGGACCCCTCCAGACCCAAACTGCACGTGGGGAACTACCACCGTGGAAGGGGTATTTCCGAAGCCGCGAGGTCGCAGCCTGCCCAGGTTCTCGGGGGCGAAGGTACTGGGGCTGAGAACAGCCTTGGGGACAGAGGAGTCCAGGACAGCGACATGGTGGGTCGTAGGTCCAGACCAAGCAACCCGAGGTAGTCTCATCTGACGTACCTAAGGGATCCTGAGGTCACTGACACCAGGGATACCCGAATTATGACTTCCGGCGTTTAGTAGCATTGAGACAAGAAGGATTCTGGGAAATGTAGTTCAAGACTGGCCACCCACGCACAAGAGTGGCCAAGCTTGACTGTAGAATGCATGACCCAGACCCCTTCCCCTGGAACTGTTGGCCAGCCCAGGATGGTTATCCGTAACTGATGGGTGAAAAAACAGATTCCGGAGTAAGAAGAGGCAGACCAAGGTCATAACACAATCTGTGGGCCAGCTTTTATCCTTCCTAAGGAATTCCATTCCCATCTTTTTAGGCAGTGAAGATTCAAAAGTAGAAGAAATGACCCTAAGTCAGTCTTGAATTGCCTTTGTTCCTGGTAGGGTGTAAATGTTTGAATTTGTCAATTTCTCCTTGTGATTCTCACAGTTTCTTGCTTAATGAATATCCTCAGGCTATATATTATTCAGGAACAGATAACATTGAAATCATGATATGCTCCTGGTGTTACTGTCTAGGGACGCTGGGTTAGTTGCCTAAGTTCAGCAAAGAATTGAAGAACAGGAAACAGATAGTAAATAAGAAGTAGGTGTATTGCAAAAATGAGACTTCTTGGAAGAGAAGGGACCCCAGAGCTGGGAACTTGGTGTTTTGACCTCTTCTTTCTATGGTCTCTGGAATTTGGCTCCTCCCCCCGTCCATACACTACTCTTTATTGATTGGTGCCCCTTGTCTAGGAGTCTGTTTTTTCAAAATAGAGACCCTGCTTAGTAGCACAAGTACAGAAGTGTGTGTCTGGTTTGCCACTTGTGTCCAAGAACACGTTCATCAAACAGGAAGTTGACCTCACCAGAAGATCCTCTCCAAGTTCCTTTGTTCTGGACGTGCGCCCGACCACCTTACTTGCCATCTTGTCCTGACTGCACAAGCCCTTCTGTATCTCCCTCGCTGGTGAACTGAAATTTTACGTCTCTAAATGATTTTAGCCTATAATTTTAAACATTTGCCTTACAGTCTATTTTAAGTTGAGGCCATTTACATCTAAATTAGTAAAATCATTTTTTAGTTGTAGTTGGACACATACCTTTATTTTACTTATTTTGTGTGGTGCTGAAGATCAAACCCAGGGCCTCACACGTGCTAGGCAAGCGCTCTACCACTGAGCCACAACCCCAGCCCCCAATCTAATTTTTTTCTATTATTCAATTTTGCATTTTTTGGTGTGTGGCTTTTTTCTGGCTATTTTATTTAATATTTTCTAGTTGTAGTTGGACACAATATCCATTCATTCATTTTTATGTGGTGCTAAAGATCAAACCAAGGGCTCAGCATGTGCTAGGTCAGCACTCTACCGCTGACCGACAACCCCAGTCCCCTTCTTCCTATTACAATAGCTGCCTCCCCATCTTTTCCTTAATGTCTCCTTGACCCCTCACACCAGGTTCTGAGAATTAAGCTCAGCAGTGCTCTGCCTTTGAGCTACATCCACAGTCCTTTGTATTTTTATATTAATACAGGATTGCTTAACCACTGAGCCACATCTCCAGCCCCGTCCCCTCTTTTTGGGAAACAGGGTCTCTGAGGCTGGCCACCGGACTGTGTTTTGATATTATTATGTACATTTTGTATGAAACGATCAGGCAAGTATTTGCAGCAAGATAATTTCTTGGGGCTGGGGTTGCGGGTCAGTGTTTGCATACCATGTGTGAGGCACTGGGTTTGATCCTCAGAACCACATTAAAAAAAAATGTTTTCTCACTTACCTATTACACTGAACTAGACATGACACGACTTGCTTTAGTGTTAACAATTGCACTATGTAAATGTGAATACAATTTTTTTGTGGGGGAGCGGATACTAGGATGGAACCCTGGGCTTTACCACTGAGCTACATCCCCAGCCCTTTTTTAGACAGGGTCTAAATTGCTGTTGGCAGCCTGGACCTTGATATCCTCCAACCTCAGGCTTCCATTCCTCTTCAGGGTCAGACTTTCCCCACCCATGCCGGAGTATTCCATGCGCCCAGCCAGGCTCACAATTTTGGGTGCATTTGAATTCCAATCATACCTGACCAAGCACATACTGTCAGGTCCAAGACCTTAGCCAGCCAAGCAGAACTGGATAAATAGGGGGATTAAACGCATGTACCACTACACCCAGTTAATTTTTTTCTAGATATAAAATGGGTATGGTTGGATGTGTACTACATCTATACTAAAGATAAAATGACTACATTGGATCCTTTCAAAGTGTGGTCCCTAGTACAACAGCATTAGAATCCCTTGGGGATTTGTTAAAAACACAAATCGTAAGTTCCCATCACCAAATTAACTGAATCAGAAACTGGAAGCAGTGCACAGCTACAAGCCCACTAGATGACTGTAAGGTGCACTGACATTAAGGAACTATTAAATAAAAATAATATGGGGAGAAGCCGGTCCTGGTGGCTCATCCCTGTAATCCCAGTGGTTCCAGGGGCTGAAACAGGAGAATTGCAAGTTCAAAGCCAGCCTCAGCGAGGTGCTCAGCAACTCAGTGAGACCCTGTCTCTAAATAAGATACCAAATAGGGCTGGGGATGTGGCTCAGTGGTCGAGTACTCCTGAATTTAATCCCTGATACCCGCCCCCCCGCAAAAAAAAAAATCCTGGGCAGGAGAGACTCTTGTGCCAAACAGGACATCGTATCATCATTGCTTTTCATGACTAAATCATTGTCTATGCCATTATCAGTGGTTAGCTACCAAATTCCAGAAACAAGTTTCTCATAAAATAGCTTCTTTCTTAAATCTGTAAAAAGAGAGAACACCTTAAAATGTGGAATACATATATAGGGAAAGCAGAGAAAAAGGGCATGAGACTTTGTATTACAAAGGACAAGAATTACCTATTTATGCAATTCATGATCATTCCCCCAAAATAGACTAATAAGATACATATTAATGCAGTCACATTAACCAAATTTGACTTTCCAAGGTTAAAGTCAATCTCAAATGGCTCTTTGTTGACATTCACTGAAAAAAAAAAAAAAAAAACGGTAACATTCTTTATCAAGTTACACTGTTGAGGAAGGATGCAACTTTAAAAAAAAAATCTTCAGGACAATTTAGGTATTTAGGTAACAGAATTCTGTCCATGGTCTGAGTGGGCCAAGTTTCTTACCCCATCCCATCTTCTCCCCACATATGTAAAAGAAACAAAAAGATGTGTCTGTCAATGAAGTGGGAAGAATGAAAACAGTCTGCAAGACTAAAATGTTGGTATCTAAAACCGGAAGATGTATAAGTTCAGACGTTGAATGGTTTTCTTTTAAAAAATGAAAATGATCAAAAACTTTTAATGCATGATTCCCAAAGTAATTTAAAGGACAGGAAAATTGACACTCCAAAATTAATCTATCTGAAAAAGAAAAATTATATACAACCTATCCATGTATCCTTATTTAATAAATTCTTAAATCTTCCTAATCTCAAGTGGTATGCTGCAAAATGTTAGAAAAATGAGACATTATACAGTATAACACATTAAATAAACAGATTTGTAGTATGCTGTCATTTTAATTTTAATAAAATAGATAATTTCATATTACATAGAGAGCAAGTCCATCCACTCATTGTTGATAAAATTTTAGAAATATTTTCTATAAAAAGTTTAGTATTTGATTGGGAATTAGTCCATTATAACATAACTTCTACAGGTACAGAGTTCCATCCTCACTCCCATTCTTATTAACTTTGAGAAATTTTAAAAATACAGAAAAGTACAAAAAATAAGACAAGATATCCATATACCACAATCCAGAATTAGCCAGTATCTTCATATATTTACTTGCAGTCTTCAAGAGAAATGGATGTTTTATATAAAAAGCTGAAGCCCCCTCCCCACCCTACCTCCCATACTTATTCCCTTCCCCTCTTGCTCTTCACAGGCTACCACTATCAAAGGTTTGGCCTGTATTTCTCCATTTCAAAAATGTTAACATACACGTATGTATTCATTACCAATATAAAGTACTAAATTTCATGAAATTTTAATTCAAATTTACAAAGTCACTGTATGTATCATCCTGCAACTTCTTTTTCCCCCTCAATGCAATTTTTTTTAGATCCTTCTGTTAATAACATGTGGATCTCATAGTTGCATTTTGCAGATGTATAGTGTCACATCATAAGAACTTCTTTTTGTTCCTGATGAACATTTAAGTTGTTTCCAATATTTGGCTACAAATCAAGCCACAGTAAATTTCCTGGTATCTCCTGAGCATATACACTCACAAGTAAAACTGCTAAATATTTTTAAATTTGTTAAGAAGGAAAGTTTCCCTACTCCAAAGGTCACAGCCACTTTAGTGCATGGCTTTTGTATCTTTCAGTCTTCAATTCCCATGAATTTTGCTTGTGTGTTCATGGTCTATTTTCTTTCCCCTTCAGAGAACAAATTACCTCCAAATAATTTTTTTAAATAGTCCCGTATTTACTCATCTGATGAATTTCTTTAATATTGCAAGTTCTACTAAATGCATAGTTCTCTTTCTGGAATCTCTTTCCCTCTGCTGAAGCAATACCAGAGTTTTATTACTTATAGATGATCATACCATCTGTTTTTGTCTCTTCCTTTCTAATACAACTTATTACACAAGTGAAGAACTTCACATCTATATTGATGGAGTAACAGGCCTGTTTTCTGTTCCAATTTTAATGGAAATGTCTTTTGTTTCAGCATTACCTTTACCATTGACTGTGGAGTATTTTTTTTATTGGCAGTCTGCTTATCATACAAACGTCTTCCTCTTCAGTATGAATTTTCAGTGTCCTCAAAGTTTTTCCCTTCATTTGTGATACACTGCCTCAGAATGACTTTATGATATATAAATTTTTGATGTGTTCCTATCTTGAAGGTACTCATAGGGTTTTTAATGAGTATGAATTTTCTGATGTCTAATATGGTGTGATTTCTGGCTGAAAGCTTTCCCACATTCACTGCATTGGTAAGGTTTCTTACCTGTATGTATTCTCAAATGCAGAGCTAGGGTTGAGAATTGAGAGAAAGCTTTTCCACATTCATTACATCCGTAAGGTTTCTCACCTGTATGGCTTCTTACATGTACAGTGAGAGATGAACTCTGAGAGAAGGCTTTTCCACATACATTGCATTCATAAGGTTTATCACCTGAATGAATTCTCACATGCACAATAAGTGATGTTCGTTGAGAGAAGGCTTTTCCACATTCATTACATTCATAGGGTTTCTCTCCAGTGTGAATGTTTTGATGCTTTATGAGGTACTTCTTCTGGCCAAAAGCTGTTCCACACTCATTACATTTAAAGGGTTTCTCTCCAATATGAATTTTCTCATGCTCAGTAAGATTTGATTTCCCACTAAAGGTTTTCCCACACTCCTTACATATAAAGGGCTTCTCTCCTGTGTGAGTTCTCTGGTGTCTGATAAGGTTGGACTTCTGAATGAAAGCTTTCCCACAATCTTTGCACTCAAAAGGTTTCTCTCCAGTGTGGATTTTCTGATGGGTAAGGAGGTTTTCTTTCTGGCTGAAGGATTTTCCACAATCATTACACTCAAAAAGCTTCTCTCCAGTATGAGTATTCTGATGTTTAATGACATACTGCTTTTGGCTAAAGGCCTTCCCACATTCATTACATTCAAAAGGTTTCTCTCTATTATGAAAAAGCTCATGCTCAGTAAGATTGGATTTGTGGCTGAAGACTTTCCCACATACCTTACAGGCAAAGGGGCTTTCCCCACTATAAATTCTCTGCTGACTGAGGTGTGACATCTGAATGGAAGCTTTCCCACATTCACAAGGTTTCTCTCCAGTATGAATTTCTTGATACACGAGGATTTACTTTTGACTGAAGATATTTCCACATTTCTTACATTTAGAAGGCTTCTCTGTATGACCTCTCAAATGCAGAGGAATGGATAAGATTTGTGAGAAAATTTTATCATCTAGCTAAAGGCTTTTCAATACTCTTTAGAAGCACAAGGTTTCCCTTCAGCATGACTTCTATGTTCAATGAAATGTGATATGTGGGTAAAAGTTTTCCCACATTCAGTAAACTCATGAGGTTTTCCTCCAGTATGAATGCTCTGCTATCAGATGCTATATCACACTTTTTATACTGAAGGCATTTCACACTGCTTTACACTTATAGGGGGATATTACCATAAGAAATAAGCAGTGGTAGAGAACATCCAGCTAGTAAAACTGGAGACTCAACTACATACCTTCCCTCATGGTTAAGTCTAAACAGTTTCAACCTAAAACTTCAAAAATGTTTCCTTAAAGAAATGAGTTTGAGCAAACAGGATTTTTCCAATTTTCTTATATCCACATCCTTTTTTCCTCAGTCTGTAGTTTGATGAACACAACTTGCCTCCCAAGTCTTGTTGCTTCTCTATCTGTTCATCATCTTCTCAGGCTTTTTCTAAAATGGAGTAAAGAATGATAATTTAGAGGAGTTAATATATAAAATGCTCAGAATCATAGGTGGTGCATGGTGAGCATTCATAAATATTACCTTTACATTACCATCACTATTTGCTGTGCCCCTCCCGACTCAGGCAATGGCAAGGCCCTACTGAGGTGGATGGCGCAAGGCATCCATCCTCTGGAGGAGCGCAGTATGTTTCTGGGAATGGGCTGATTTATTTTTGTGTTCCTTTAATAAGTATAGCTGCGATTTCTCATATGACCATTAAGTATGAAGGAAAAAACATGACTTTCCCAATTAATGCAACTACTTCTAAAGAATGGATCTGTTTGCTCTAAATGCAATGATTCAGCTGTGGAGTGTAAATTGTTAATGTCTAGTGAAAAACTCCCTGTATTCCTGTCAAGGAAGTTTTTGAGAAATTAAATTAAAATCTAGAGAAGAAAAATTAATGTTAAGAAGACAGATTAGTGCTTAGTACTGGGCAACTTGTTCTTGTTCCTGTGCACAATGGTTTGTGCTCTTACTCTTGTTTGATTAAAATTAATAACAAGTCAACCACTTGCCGTAACCATGGCACCGGTTCCAGTCAGTAAGTCAAGAAAGAATAGTCAAGGTATAGGCCAATAGATTGGGACATTTCTAACTATTATTAAAAGTTAACTAAGCAGAAACAGCTCAAAGCAAAACGCGAACTGAAAGTACAAATGCTTGCTTATGCATTCTTCTATTCTAATTGTAGCTACGTAATATTTTGTTTCTTTGAATAATGATTCCTGTTTTGTAACCACAAAGTACTGTGAGCCTGCCAAAATGAAAAGTATATATGATCAGCTTCACAAGTAAAGATTGGGATCAACACCTGCACTTTGGTGTCTGTGTTGTTTCTCCACCCCTCTTTCGCAGACTCCTCACCATCCGTTCGTCTCCTGAGACCCCCTGTTGGAGCTGGTCTCCGACAACTATTATTTGTGAATGTTCCCATTACCAGCAATAAAATATCAAATTGTGCTTTTTGCTGGTACGCCATCTCCCAGAAGGAAGAAATCCATATGAACAACGTCTCTAATTAAATTTTCAGTAGAGGGGGCATGTGAGTAAAAGCTAAACTTGTGGGTTCACAAAGCTTAGACCACTCTTGAAAAAACACTGCCATTCCCCAATTCAGCAAAAAGCCTAACAATGAGGAACTGCCAAACAGATAAAAAGATGAGCATATAAAAATGAGAAAGCTGTGGTTACTTGACTATCTCAGTCCACATACCATAAGACTTAAATGAGATGTTTAAGAAAGGGAAAAGATCACACGACTGGTCCCTACCAAAACCAGATTAAAATAACAAGGAACATGGCGATGGGGTTGTGGCTAATCGGCAGAGCACTTGCCTCGCACATTTGAGGTACTGGGTTCGATCCTTAGCACCACATAAAAATAAATATACAGAATAAAGGTATTATGTCCAACTACAACTAAAAACAATTGTATTAAAAAGAAAAATAACAAGGAACAATGGTACAAACTCGTAAGAAAAAGCATATGTAGGAGACATAGGACACAACAGTCATAATTTTTCAACAATGAAAGATTTTTCAATGCACAACAAAATGTTATCTGTGGGGGGCTGGGGATATAACTTGGTTGGCAGAGAGCTTGCCTGATGTACACAAGGCCCTGCATTCAATCCCCAGCACCACAAAAAAAATATACAATAAAATATGTTATTTGAGGAAGCTCATATAATATAAAGATCCTGCATAAGAGGACGACAATGTTAATCAAAATCTGATTTTTATTACAAAATATCAAAAAGACTCAGTGTGGGAGACCAACCTTACATGTGACTGAGACATATGCCCCAGCTGGGTGCTGAGGTGCTCAGTCACAGAAATGTGGCAGAGCTTTCCCCACTCTTCTTGGGTTCGAATGTCGGTGTCTTGTGCATGGGTGTGTCTTGCTACAGTCCCATGGGTGAAGCTATGCTCACCTGTTCCTTTGTAATATAACCCCTTGTCCTGTTTAGGATAGAATCTTCCATGGAAGTGCCTTGTGTGTGTCCCCTTCTTACTGTGCCCCTAGCCTACCCGGGTATCAGTCAACCTACTGACAGTGGACATAATGTAGACTCAGCCCCCTGAAAACTGACCCCTTGCCTCATTTGAATAGCTTCTTCTCACTAAAAGGGGTCAGTGTGTACTCTCGCTCTCTTTCTGCGGACCCTTAAGGTCAGAGGAGCCATCACAGCAACCCCAAAGAAAAAGGTATTTGTGTCTCCTGTGTGGTTATTTCATGCAGCCCAATTAGCCCAGTTTAACTGGAGTGACCCCTGAGGCTTTTAGTCGTGAGAACAGAAACCCAGCAAATCAGGAAATGAAGGGACACAAATATTTCAGAAAAAGGAATAAAGGATAGTAGCCAAATAAAAGAAAGTATGACTGCCAGCAATTTGGGAGGCTTAGGAGAGAGAAAATTGAGGCACAATTTCAAGACCAGCCTTGGCAACTTAGGAAGACCCTCAACAACTTAGTGAAACCCTGTCTGAAAATAATAAATAAAAGGACTGAAGATATAGCTTAATGGTAGTACATCCTTGAATTTAAACTCCTGTACTACCACGGGGGCGGGGGGGGATAGTATGACATTTGGACTTGTAGTCATCCAGTCAAAACAGACAAGGACTAACTTCTTCATATCAAGTTGACTAATTCTTTGTAGAAATTTAATCAAATAAGCTGCATCCTCAAGGGCACCCAGCAAATCAATACTCTTTTTTACCCCTGGTACGGGGGTTGAACTCCATGGCCTTGTGCATGCTAGGCAAGCATCCTACCATCAAGCTATAATAAGATGACGGGGAGAGCCACTATGTTGAAACCACTAGGGTTAAACCTATATGTAATACGGCAAGACTTTCAGCACCATATTACATATAGATTTGACATTCAGCAGCAGAAGCCAAAACAATGTTGGCACTAAGGTATGCATACATACCTATGAGCAAGATATTAGAGGATCTTTCTCTGAAGAAACCAAAAGGTCCATGATAAACATTAAACTAACCCAGAAACAAAAGCACTTATGATCCCCTTTTAGTGAATCACTGTTAAATATGATTGCCATAAGTATTTCACACACATTTGAATAACCCTGCCAAAACATAAGAAAACATAAAAAAAGAAAAGAAAAAAAACAGCTTGGAGGAAATACAAGCAAGACACGACAACGAAACACAAATACCAATCAGAGAGTTATAAGAAGATATTTCACTAATGAAACAATAACAAGGTTTTGTGAGAAATAAGCATTAAGAAAAAGTTCCCTTGTGGGGCTGCGGTTGTAGCTCAGTTGTCGAGTGCTTGGCTAACAAGTTTGAGGCACTTGGTTTGATCCTCAGCACCACATAAAAATAATTAAATAGCCATGTGCAGTGGCTCATGCCTGTAATTCCAGCAGCTTGGGAGGCTGAGGCAGAAGGATTGTGAGTTCAAAGCCAGCCTCAGCAACAGTGAGGCACTTAACAACTCAGTGAGACCCTGTCTCTAAATAAAACATAAAAAAGGACTGAAGATGTTGCTCAGTGGTTAGTACCCCTGGGTTTAATACCCAGTACCAAAAAAAAAAAAAAAAAAAAGAAAGAAATTAAGAAAGGGAGAATCAAGGATGAGGTAGACTACGTAGAGACTGTGTTACCATTTACCAAGAACAGGGTCTCCCTACTCCAAAAGAATTGCATGACCTCCCTCTAACACTTTCAGCCATGGTTAGGTAGGTATAGGTACCTTGTTTGTCAAATATCATCACAAGTAACAAGTAGCAAGTAGTAAAAGCTTTAAGGACAAATTCAGAGGGTAACCAAGGAAAGAATATCTTAGTAAAAGTCGTCTCAAAAAAAAAAAAAAAAAAATGAAAAAACTGTTTAGAAGAACTATTCAAAGAACAAAAAAAATCTCCTCAAACTTTTCTTCTTTCTTTTTTTTAATGGTGCTGGGGATTCCATGGCCTTGTGCAGGCCAGGCAAACACTCTTATCAACTGAGCTATGTCCCCAGTCCAAACTTTAATTTCTTTAGGATGAAAACTCAAAATCCTTTCTTAAAGCTTTCTGAAATATAAAATATATTATAGTCACCATACTGTGCAAAAGCACACCAGAGCATCTTATGCCTATAAATTTATTCAAAACTGGATTTTATACAATAGTACAAAATAAATTTTTTATACAGTTTCAAATCCTACATTGGCAGACAATCTAAGGGGGAAAAAAAAAAAAAAACCCTTGTCAACATGGTTATAGTATCAAAGAATATTCATCACTACTTGAAAAGGCTATTAAAATACTTTTCCCCTTTCTAACTATATAGAAAAATGAGGGCTATGTAAAGCCTGATTTTGTGGGCATATTTCTTTCACAACAGTTAATATGAGAATCCAGCCATCTTGTATTAAACCAGACAAAGATATTTACAAATATGTAAAACAATTCCCTTTTCTTACTACATTTTTTTTGTTTTGGAAAATTACTATTTATTTATTTGTTTGTTAATGTTGTGCTGAGGACCCAACTCAGCGACTCACACGGGCAAAGCAAGTGCTCTTACCACTGAGCTACAACCCCAGCCCGGAAAATTACTGTTTTAATTAAGAAATGTTTAGTTACCTGAAATCATTTTATTTTTTTTAAACATTTTTTTAGTTGTAGGTGCACACAATACCTTTATTTTATTTGTTCATTGTTTTTAATGTGATGCTGGGGATTGAACCCCGTGCCTCATAAATACTAGGCAAGCACTCTACCACTGAGCCACAACTCCAGCCCATTTTTTTTTAAGTAAATTAATATTTTTAAAAGTATCTCAATTGTATTTTTTATGCTTTTTAGTTGTAGGTGGACATAATACCTTTATTTATTTATATTTATGTGGTGCTGAGGATTGAACTTAGTGCCTCACATGTCCTAAGCAAGTGCTCTACCACTGAGCCCCTCAATTGTATGTTTTTAAGATAAATATCACCATATAAACCAAATAGTTTAGAGGTACTCAATTTTTAAAAAATATAAGTGATTGTTAATGGGTACAGCATTTTTGTGGTGATGAAAACACTGTAGAATTAGATAGCTTTTTGTATCCTTACTATGTGCATGGCACAAGTATAGGCTCTAGAGAAACTATACTGATTAAAACTGAAAAAACTTCTGCCCTCAAGTTTACATTCCAGTGGGAAAGAAATGATTTGCTAACAAGTTACTAAATCCTATGGAAAACAGTTAAGGAAGGAGTCGAGTTTCAATCTTATGTAAGGTTATGTCTGAGAAAGCAAAAACTCCCTCAAGACCTGAAAGAGATTGATTGATTATTTATTTATTTATTTATTTTAGTGCTGGGGATTGACCCAGGGCCTTATGTATGTGAGGCAAGCTCTCTACCAACTGAGCTATATCCCCAGCCTCAAGATATGGATAGCCAGAAGAAATAAATTCTCAGCTTTCATAGGCCCTAAAGAAGATCAAGAGTGGTAAATATATAAATGGTAAGTCACAATTTTCCATATCTTGTTCTTCATATCCTTCTTAGCCTAATCTCTCCTATCTTTTAATCCTCCTGGAAGGAGTTCCAAGAACATACTCTTAAATGACCTAATTTTATCTTTTAAAATCCTTTCTCTCAACTACTAATAACAATTATATTCACTTTTCTAAAAGTATTTTATATAAGATACATACATACTGCCCTGCCCACCCCCCACTCCACCTTACCCCCACCCCAGCGCTAAGAATCAAGCCAGGGGGCTGGGGTTGTAGCTCAGTAGTAGAGTGCTCACCTAGCATGTGCGAGGCCCTGGGTTCGATCCTCAGCACCACATAAAAATAAATAAATAAATAAAATAAAGGCATTGTGTCCAACTATACCTAACAAATTGTTGGGGACTGCAAAACAAGTCAAGATGGCGCCTGGCAGTTTGCCAGGAGGAGTGGTTTGTGAGGCAATGCCATTAAGATAGTGAGGATTCCTTATTGGCTGACTACTGCATCTAGATGATGCTAATTGAGACAAGCTGTGTGTAATCAGTTAGGTATATATACTGCTGTTGTTCCGTAATAAAGCAGTTCCCGCTTCAACCTTCAACTTGTTTGTCACCTCCCGGTTATTTTGCCCAGCCAAACTGCGGCAACAAATAAATTTAAAAAAAAAAAAGAATCAAGCCAGGACCTTGACCATATCAGGCAAGTACTCCACCACTAACATACATACATCCCCAGCAGATGAAATTTTTTTTAAATACAAATTTATATATTGCAAAGTCCTTTAACATCCTAACTATAACTTTAAAGGCTGGATAGTATCAATGGCTTTCCTTTTTTTCTTTTGGCACATCTGACAGTATACATTTTAAAAATATTAAGGGAAATATCAGGGGAAAATGATGGTGAGGGGTAACCATTTAAAAAGGCAACAACCAAATCTCTTAACTAATCCTGAAATTTAAAAAAACAAAAAAACCCAAAAACCTATAAAAGATATTTTGGAGACAACTGAGAAACTTGAACTAGATAATCTATAATATCAGAGCATTATGATTAGTCTTTTAAGGTGTGGCAATGGTATTTTGGTTATATGGGGGATTTCATTATTTTTAGAAAAGATATAGTTAATTTTTTAGGAATGAAGTGTCAGGACATTTTGGTACACAAAACAGATATAGACACACATAAAAACAACAAAACATTAATTATTCAATGCATGGTGGGTATATAAGATTACTGCAATACTCTTAAAAACTGTCCATTTAAAAAATGATAATAATTAAGAAGCACTCCTTCACAAAATAATTCATAGATTAAGAGCACCTCATGTGTACTCAAAACTGCCAACAGGAAAAATAAAACACAAGCATTCTCTTCAACAGTTTATAATAAAGACTGTAGATATCCAAATATAAATAAAATTTACTGAAGACTTTTAAATTTCTCTAGAAAACACCAAATAGGATGGACAATCAATGGGCTGATCAAAAAAAGATGAAATTAGTAGGAACATTTTAATGACAACTTAATTCAAGTTTAGGGATGGTACAGTGCTGGCCAGCACATGTGAAGCACAGGGTTTGATCCTCAACACCAAATAAAAATAAACGAATAAAATAAAGGTACTATGTCCATTTGTAACTAAAAACATATTTTTTTAAAGTTTAAATTTTTATTTGGGGGGAGGGTGTAACTGGGGATTTAATTCAGGGGCATTCCACCACTGACATCCCCAGCCCTATTTTGTATTTTATTTAGAGACAGGGTCTCATTGAGTTGCTTAGCGCCTCACCATTGCTGAGGCTGGCTTTGAACTCACAATCCTCCTGTCTCAGCCTTCTGAGCTGCTGGGATTACAGTGTGTGCCACAAAAAAGTTTAAATGATAAGCAGTACCTGCATAAGTAGAAAATTTCATAATCAAAGGTCAAGATTCAAAGAATTTTACAGAGAAAGAAATGTTCATATTCATAATCATATGGTCTATGTTCTCTTGAGTACAGTGAAGTATACCTTTTTAAAGGCCTCAATGATGATAAGAAATAATCCAGACATAATATGAAACTGGTCTGAGATGATCTCTGGATCTGAAAATAATGGAATAAAATTTCTAATTTTGGTAGAGTACTAATCTTCCCTTATCCTCAGAGAATACATTTCCAGACTTCCAGTGCATGCCTGAAGCCACGAATAGTACCAAAATCTATAATATGTTGTGTTTTTCCTTTAATTTACAAAATTATTCACAGTGAGAGTAACAACAAAAATAGAAAAATTATAACAATATACTATATTCAAAGTTATGTAAATATAAACTCTCCCTCTCATTCTCTACTGTCACAGGCTGAACTGTGTATACAGCATGGATACACTGAATAAACTGAGGTTCATATTCCAGGACAACGTGAGACTTCACCCAATTACTCAGAATGGCAATTTTCTTATGAACTGCTTATTTCTGGAATTTTTCATTAACATTTTCAGAACACTATGGGTGTCTGAAATCATGGTAAATAAAAATTAAGGATTATTACCATGATTTCACTGATACCATGAGAATAAAATCTGATACTTGTCTGTCCAATTAACAGATAAGATGATGGCAGGCAAGGCAAAAAGCTGTAAGTATCCAAAAATAATTTATAAAGGGTTGGAAGAAAGGAACAAGCCAGGATTCTGGAAGCCACCTCCATAAGAGGATGATTTATGATAAAGAAAGACAAAAGTAGGGGCTGGGGTTGTGGCTCAGCGGTAGAGCGCTCACCTACATGTGCGAAGCCCTGGGTTCGATCCTCAGCACCACATAAAAATAAAGGTATTCTGTCCAACTACAACTAAAAAATAAATATTAAAAAAAGACAAAAGCAAAAAATGAGACAACTGTGATAAGCAACATCACAGGTACCAAAGCACCAATCAAACAGAAGTAACAGCATTCCAAGAGGGGTGATTCCAAAATAATAAAAAGACTACTTTGATCATTGACATTTTCTTAGTACCTCATACCTATCAGTAACTAATACCTATTAATCAATACTTGTTAAATATATAAATTTATCATGTTGGTAGAAATGTACATTGGTTACTTCTCTTTTGAGAACAATGTGCATATTTCAATCAAACCTAACTTTTACTAAATTTTTACTTTTACTACATTTTACTTACATTTTTTACTTACTCTTAAGTAGTAAAAGAGATGCAGTTTTGTCTGCATATCTCTGCAAATCAATATAAATAAGCATGCATTCTGGTATCTTCAATAGCATAAGTCTGAAAATAGCCTACACAGCCATTAATAGGAGACAGGTTAAATACATTATGTATTGATGAAGAATTCTAAGGAAAAAAATACTGCACACATAAAATATGTAACACCACTTACATGAAAAGGAAAAATGAGAGCTTATGTGTATGTTTGTGGCAGAGATATATAACATATGCTGGTTTTTCATGGACTCCCTCAAAGAGGAATATGTGTGCCTCTTTGAAAAGAAACACTGCAGGAGGACTAAGAGTCAGAGACAAGAGGGAATTTTTTTTTTTTTTTGCTATGTACCTTGACGTTCGAAAATGTTTACACCTATGTCAAAAGACAACAGAAAAAAGCCCAAATGATTTAATCAAAGTTTTACTGGCCCTGAAAGTATTCATCAATAAAGATGGGAGGGGGATTTTCACAAAGCAAATACTCAGGTACCCACATGCGCGCGCACACGCACACGCACACACACACACAGTAGTAGACAGGCACCAATAATTTCTAAGTTGGCAACATATGTAAGAGGTATACAGAAGTGAAGAGAGAAAAATGGAGAAGTGTACTGATCTATGACAAGGGAGATGTTTAAAAGACAACATGAAGTAAGACTACAGATATAAAATATAATTCTGAAGCACTTAACCACTGAAAGAATGAGACAAGGAATAAAAAGGAACATGAACACTAGATGATATACAAAGACATATGACCTATAAAGGACACACATAGTTATGAAACTGGATATGACACTGAAGGAAAACAACCAAAACAGAGGCAGTAAAAATGAAGTATTAAGTGTTGACGACAGAACAAAGACGAGAGAGAGGGTATGTGGCCCTGAGGCAGGAGGATCATGAGTTCAAAGCCAGCCTCAGCAACAGGAAGGCACTAAGCAACTCAGCTGAGACCCTGTCTCTAAATAAAATACAAAAAAAAAAAAAAAAAAACCAGCTAGGGATATGGCTCAGTGGTTAAGTGCCCCTGAATTCAAAACCCAATACCCACCCCCCAACAAAAAAGAAAAAAAAAAAAACCACACTATGACTGAAAACATCCCTCAGGAACCTACAGAATAAGAAAATGTCTTCAAAAGCACTTCAGCCTGTCATTCCCTCACCTGACAAGACTTCTTTTCTACTTTTTCCCCACCATCCAGTGGATCTTCTTGCTTCAGTGGAGGATCATACAGTTTGGTCTCTTTATCACCTGCTTTCAAGGGAAATCACAGGATTAGAATGTTAATGATGAGGCCAAAGCACCATCCTAGAACTCAGGAGAAGCCCTGGGGATTCAGGGTCTATAGCCTTCTGAAGGATGAGGAAAATGTAGTTTGCAGAGATACACAAGGAAGTAGCCCTGTGAAACAGAACAAAGTAATGACTTTTTGCCTTGGTGACTAGAGAACACAAGTATGTGCATAGGAAATAAACATTTTGAATCCTAAATCTCAAAGTCATACTAAGTCATTTGAAGTCTCCACACATACAGAAAGGAAGAATTAGCTTTCAGAATTTTAGTCACATAGGAAAACTGTTCATTTGCTCGCATGACTGACTGCTATTGTTCTCTAGCACCACATTCCAACCCAGGTTCCTGAATAGATTTTCACTATGGCCCTTATTCCTGCATGAATTCAATACTCATTATCTTTGTCTAATGAAACTAAGCCACATGAGTACAATGTGTAAGCAGTTGTTCTAATAGTATTCAGGAATAAAAAGTCAATAGTTTTCCTGGAGTTTTAATATTTACTTCTTCATACTGTATCAGAAATGTCCTACAAATGTTTATCCATTTGTTCAAAAAACATTTTTTCCTTTTACTTTCTTGGTACCAGGGATTGAACCCAGGGTGCTTAACCACTGTACCACATCCCCAGCCCTTTTTGTTTTTTAAACTCTAAATGGATTATATATAAAATCCATATAAACTACAGCACTATAAAGAATCTGAAAACAGGGCTTGGATTGTGGCTCAGTGGTAGAGCGCTTGCCTAGCACGTGTGAGGCCCTGGGTTCACACCATATAAAAATAAAATACAGATATTGTGTCCAACTACAACTAAAAAAAGAAAGAAAAATTAAAAAAAGAAAATCTGAAAACAGGTGAAACTCAGAATGGGAAAAGATGACTATGATTAGTAATGAAAAGGCAGATAAATCTACAAAAACTTCCTGATTTTGCATAGTTTAAAAATGAAAATCTCTGTGAACAAATGAAAAAATATACAAAAAAACTTATCAAAACACAAAATGAAAAACTTAGGTGGAAAAACCTTCAAACTTATTTCACATAGGGCTAACTTTGTGTGTACACAGTTTCTAGAAGACATTCCATAAAAAAGTTGGGGAGGGGCTGGGGTTGTGGCTCAGTGGTAGAGCACTCGCCTAGCATGTGCAAGGCCCTGGGTTCCATCCTCAGCACCACATATAAGTAAATAAATAAAATAAAGGTATTGTGTCAACTTACACCTAAAGAAAAATATTTAAAAAAAAATTGGGGGAAAGGGTATGAACAGACAATTATGAAAAGATACTCAATACCTCACTTGTAATAAAGCAATATAAATTAAATCTCATTTATGTCTTTGGCAAAATATCAAATATTCAACACTAAAGTCCGACGCTGAGGTTCCAGGGGGAAAGACGCTAATGCACACTGTTGGTGGGGATATAAATACTTACCATTGGGCAATTCCTCTTGAAGAAATCTACTTTAGAGAGAGTCCTGCCTAAATACAAAATGACACATATTACTCATTACTGCATTGTTAGTAAGAGCAAAAGATCAGAAAGCCAAATGTTCAACAGGGGATTAACTGAATCAACTGTTACAACCACACTATGATATCTTACTCACACCATAGTTAAGAAGGGGAAGGAGATAATAAGAACATCTTGCCCCAGATGGTGGTCCACACCAGTAATTTCAGCTACTGAGAAGGCTGAGGGAAGAGAACTGCAAGTTTGAGACCATCCCGGGCAACTTAGGGAGACACCTGTCCCAAAATTAAAAAATAAAATAAAAAGGGGGTAGGAATATAACTCAGTGGTAGAGTACCCGTCTTCAATCTCCAGTACTGGGGGGGGTGGGAAGGGGGATGGACATCTTCAGGGTATAATTTTTTTTAATATTTATTTTTTTTTAGTTTTCGGCGGACACAACATCTTTGATTGTATGTGGTGCTGAGGATCGAACCCGGGCCGCACGCATGCCAGGCGAGCGCGCTACCGCTTGAGCCACATCCCCAGCCCCATAATTATTTTTTATTTTTAGTTGTAGATGGACACAATACATACATTTATTTATTTATTTATGTGGTGCTGAGAATTGAACCCAGTGCCTCACATGTGCAGGCAAGTACTCTACCACCAAGCCACAACCTAGCCCCAGAACTTTTAAGTGGAAAAAGTGAGGTATAAAGAGGTGACGATGGTATGCTACCCTATATGTAAAGAGAGTGGGGAATCGGAGAGAGGAATAAATGTGACCAAACAACAACAAAAAAATCCACTTGAAGGGTAAACAAGAAACAAACAACAAAAAAGTCAATAAACTGTACTTACATGGGACAAAGAAGAATGTAATTAGAAGAGCAGAATATTTCTGAGATGTATTTTTGCTGAATCATAGAAATCTATTACTTTTTTTAAGTAATCAAATTCTTTTAAAAAGCAGTCTCAACATGGAAACAAATGAAGTTAACTGTATATTAATTTAGTTACATAACTCCTCAGAGAAAGAATTGATTTCAAATGGCTTTAGAACAAAGAAGTTTTGAACTATACATCTCTAAGAGATACACTGAAAGAACCAAAAAAAAAAAAAAAAGCCATAATGATTCAGTATGTTTATGGTTTACTACTGTCAATACTGTTATTTTGAAATCATTCTCTTCATTCTTCAGTAGTAAGTACTTATAACCTGCTTCAAATTTTAAATTTCAAAATACAATAGGATCTAAGATAACAGAAAAAAATACTATGCCATTTAAGCTTAATTAGAAATATTAATATGGACTCATGATTTAAAATGGCCTTGAGCGGCTGGGGATGCAACTTAGTGATAGAGCAACTGCCAAGAAGGCCCTGGCTTCCATCCCCAGCACCAAAAACAAACAAATAACAACCTTGAAACAACATTGCCCTGGATCTTAAGGTTCTTACGCCATTCTCTAGAACTCCTTGGAGAAAGTGGTCAATTCCACTCCAGGATAGAATATAAACAAAGTAAACCTAGATTTCAATTACTTAAAGTTTTCAAGGATAAATGATGTCAATTCAAAATAAGACTAAAGCAGCAGCCACTGATTTCAACTGTGATGACACAAGCATAAAATATCCCGCCCCCCATACAAACCACTGGTGCTATTAGAACACACTAAATCTATACAATTTGAACCCATTAAGTCCTAGATTTCAATTCTGTAAATATTTTTTAAAAAACTGATCAGGTGCACTAGAATAGTTTGAAAATCATAACCTAGAGTTTATTTTTAAAGATACACTATAATCCTAGTGTCTGGGTCTGAGGCAGAAGGATCACAAGTTCAAGGACAGACTCAGCAATTTAGCGAGACACTAACTCAAAGTAAAAAAAAATAAAGATAAAAAGGCCTAAAAATCTCAGTAGTAAAGCACTCCAGAACCCCAACCAAAAAAAAAAGGGCAGTAAAAGATATATCCTGGACTGTAAAGTCAAAAAATGCCATACACATCATTAAATACCTTAAATTTTTTTAAACATATTTTCTATACATATATGAAATGCTCTAATCACTCATCTACTTCTTTTCTTAAAAGAACTCTAAAAACATAACATTTATTTCAAAGTGACCATAGGTGGTATAACTGTTACCCAATTGAAGTTTTTTTTATAAGTATCCTATATATAGAATGATAGGATATAATGGGTTAAAATCATGTTTAGGGCTGGGTATAGCCACTGGTAGAGCACTAACTAGAATGTGTGAGGTCCTAGGTTCAATATCCAGCTCTGCAAATAATACTGCTTAAAAAAGAAAAACCCAGGAAAAATTTGAGGTAACAATCAAATAAATATAAAGACCTAGAAAAAAATACTGTAAAATCACTTTACAAGCTCTACAGAAATTACTGACTCAGCCAAGGATCACTTACTGTTGCTAAAACCATCAGTTAAATGATTTACCAAAGTAAAACCACAGACAAACATCTGATCATAAAGGGAAAAGTATAGTCAACAATGGTGGACCAGCCACAATAGTACACCTCTCCTGATTCAATGCTATATGAAGTATTCAGGATCAACTCCTAGCCTGGTGTAGCGCATGCCTGTCATCCAGCGGTTCAGGAGAATGAGAAGGAGGACTGAGAGTTCAACATTAGACTCAGCAATGGCAGGAGGCACTTAGCAACTCAGTAAGACCCTGTGTTTAAATACAAAATAAGGCTGGGGATGTGGCTCAGTGGTTGAGTGCCCCTGAGTTCAATCACGGGAGGGAGGGAAGAAAGGAAAGAGAGAGAAAGAGAGGAAGGAAGGAAGGAAGGAAGGAAGGAAGGAAGGAAGGAAGGTGGGTGGGTGGGAGGGAGGGAGGGAGGGAGGGGGCGGGAGGAAAGAAAAGGGAAAGGGAAAGAAAAAGGGAAAAGAAAAAGGAAGAAGAAAGAAAGAGAAAGAAACAAAGAAAGGGAGGGAGGGAAAAGAAAAGATCAGCTCCTGTGTATTATGGCCAAAAATGAACTACCTTTAGAATTTTCTAAAAATACCAGAAATTCAGGATTACAAACATGAAGGTAACACTTAGTGATCAAAGAAGTTTCATGAAGGAGGTAGATGAACTTCTAAAGATGAGCACTTGAACACAATTCTCATTTTTTCATTCCAACTAAGAGGAAATGCCCCAAAACAACAACAAAAAAGGTAAAAATTCTAAGATACAGAAGTTAGAAAATCGCATTTATATTTCAGAAATTTCTACCATAAACAGTGCAAATGGTTATACTATTTTTGAGAAAGTTCCTATATTTTCCTGCAGACAACAAATAATAATAGCACTAGTACTAGAAATGTAACTCAGTGGCAGAGTGCATGCCATGTATGGGCAAAACCATAGTTTAACCCCCATAACCACATATGCGCACGCACACACACAAAAAAAAATTAGTAAATACTATTATTAAATTAAATCTATTCTTAGAATTTTATATATATCAACTTTTTGACTTGCAAAACCACTGTGAATCAGATTCTTCTGTTTCTATATTACCAGGTAAGAAACTGAGTCTTCCACTATTGTCATGTATGTAAGAAATCAATAAAAATAAAAAAATAAGTAAATATTAAAAAAAAGAAACTGAGTCATAAGGTCTAAGTACCTGCCAAAGTCACTGAGGTACAAAGTGGCAGAGGGAGAAGTTAACACAGGAAATCTGATGTCCTTTTTAAATTTTTTTAGTTGTAGATGAACACAATATCTCTATTTTTATAAATTTTTTTTAGTTGTAGATGGACAAAATACCTTTATTTTGCTTATTTATTTTTATGTGGTGCTGAGGATCAAACCCAGGGCCTCACGCTTGTGAGGCAAGTATTCTACCACTGATATCTGCACAACCCCAGCCCTTTCTAGTTTTTCTTATGTGGTGCTAGGGCTCAAACTCAGTGCCTTATGCATGCTAGGCAAGTGCTCTACCACTGAGCCACAACCCCAGCCCTCTGATGTCCTTCTTTAAAAAGCCCTTAGAATGTATTCTACATTACACAGTTTTATAAAAGAAGCAAAGAGGTACTGTTGCCTTCGCATTATTTATTACAGTACCCCTACACACAACACAAATAGATTATTAGGTTTGTTTTTGTTTTTTTGTTTTTTGGTACTGGGAATTGAACCCAGGGGAGCTTTACCACTGAGCTCCATCCCGTCCATTCCAGTTTTTATTTTTGAGACGGTCTCACTAAATTGCTGAGTCCAAATTGCTGAGGCTGGCCTTGAACTTCCAATCCTACTGCCTCAACCTCCCAAATCACTGGGATGACAGGCATGTTAACACCACGCCCAGCTCTTTTTTAAAAACGGAAATTCAAAGATACCCAGTATTTTTACTGCAAATAAAGCACACTCTACATTCTATACTTTTTCACTTAACTAATTTTGTAATTTCAGTGTAAATATAGAGAAAGCTTCCTCCCCATTGTTTTGTACAGCTGCATGTTTTGTTGTATAATCTCCTACCTGGTAGTAGTTATTGTAAACATTGCCTTCACAGGCTGTACTCATGCCAATACCATTTTAATTTCTGAATGTTTCTTTCTTCCTCCCCCCACCTTTTTTTTTTTTTGTAATTGGTGTTATTTTCCCTTTTTTGCAGTCCTGGGGCTGGAACCCAGGGATTCAGGCAAGTGCTCTGCCACTGAGCCACAAAACCAGCCTTGAAACTGTTTAAAGTGCTAGGGCTGAATCCCACCTCCCACACCCTCAGATTTTCAGTGGCCTATTGTTGCTTGTCTGTTTTTCCAAATGAAGTATAAAATCAGCTTAACGCAGTTGAACAAGCCTGTCAATACTTTCGTTGATATTACAGGACATTAATAAACTTACTGTGTGGTGCTGGGGACTGAATGCAGAGGGCTTTGCACATGCTGGGCATACACTCTACCACGGGGCTAAGTCCCTAGGCCTCCACACTACTTTAGGTAAGGTGGTATTTCTATTTTGTTCACATCTTAGGCAACACCCCTTAGTAGCATTTTAAAGTTATTTTCTAATAATTTGAACATTTCTTATATTTTTTAGTGTTTTAATTTGTTGCTATTGTAAAACAGTCATTTTCTTCAATTATATCTCTAGTCTATTCGTTTGGAAATCTTAATTTGGTACCAAATTATTAACTCGTATCATATACAGTTACACGAAAGGTGACTGCGGATGAAGTCTATTAAAAACATCTTAAGGGATGAGATCTAGTCTCCTAAGAGCGCTAGCGCTGGCCTAGAGTGAACAGACCCTGGGTTCCATCACCAGCACCGCAAAAAGTAATAATAATAATTACCAGCCAGAAGTTATTTTTCTTCATTATGGCACAAAATTTATACATCGTACGAGCATCTCAACTACTGAGTTTTCTTCAAAGAGGATAACTGTACTTTATCTACAACCTCTGACTTCCTGTTGCTGAGCTTTTTGCCCACTTCTACCCAAAGTGAAACGATAGTCTAGGAATTTGCCTAGCATCTCCATTAAAATACCCTAAAGATGAGGGGATCTGAAAGTCTGAAGCCAGAACCCCGTAACAACGATAAAAAATTATTTTGAAATATTGTTTAAAAAATATTTAGTAAGTCAGGGTACTTTCCAATCGAAAATAAGTGTTTTATATAAAAATCGTTTTAAAATTATTCACTAACACCCCCCCACACCTTCAAGTAAAGTAGGTGTTCCAGGAAGATGGCAACGTTATCGTCATCAGCACTTTCGACACGGGAAGTTCGGCTTAGACGTTACACCTCAATGCTGGCCTCCACATGTACTCCTCAGGCGCAATCACACACAATTCCGCACCAGTTCCACATTCACTCAACGATTCCAAACAACGGGACAAACTTTGCGGTCAAACTCAGGGTCACACACGCTCGAACCCTCCTCAGAGGGCCCCACCTTCGCTCACACGTAGGCCAGAAGCTCTTAAACCCACTCCCCAATCCCGCGCCGCGGCCCTAACGATTGGGAATCCTACCCTTCAACCTCCCCAGCCCGACCGACCCAAAACGCCCAGATCCCACCTCCTACTTACGCGCCACGTGGACCAAGAGACCGTCCTGACCCGCGGACAAAGACCAAAATGTCCACTCGGTGGGCCGCGCCTGCGCACTCCGAGAGAGAGCGAGCACTCCCAGAAGTCTTCGCGACTCCGCCCTGAGTATGCGCGAACCAGGCCCAGGCTGTGTGATTACCTTGTATTACCAGCAACGCCGCTTTTCCGGCCTTGGACTACATTTCCCTTAAGGCATTGCTGGTCGATTCTCTATCTTTCTGTCCCCACCCCCCACACAACCTTGACAGCGTCCTCCTGTGAATTTGGGGTTCTTGTGGTGAGTGGTCCTTTGTTGGACTCAGATGAACTCAAACCTGCTGGGATGTCTGGAGTGAAGACTTCCTCCTTAATACCTCCCCAGTGCAGTCTCAAAACGGGCCAAGCCAAGACTCAGAAGTGAGAAGACTCCATCTTGTCCATGGCTGGTGTGGCGCTGGACCACGTTTCCCAGAGTCCACAGCGGCCCAACGTTACGTCTTTCTTGACGTCGTGACGAGATCGTTAGCTCCATAAGGACCCGGACGCGACCAGAGGAGGCAGAAGGTGAGGGGTCTGGTAGTCCGGGGCGGGGACGGGGCGTGTCCGGAGCCTTGGGTCTGTGCGCGAAGGCGGGAGCAGACCGAGAATGCGCGATTCTGATTGTGTCTTTGTGGTTAGGTGACTGGGTGTGGCTGCCTCTGAGTTTGCGGTTGTCATCGCCTGTCTCTAAGGTGTATGTCTGGTTGTTTTTATATATCCATGTGTGATACTGCGTGTTGTGGTGCCGAATCCTTGTAACTGTGGGGGTGATGATATGTGCGTCCCTGTTGCGTATATGTGCGTGTCTGCCTTGTTCTTGGATGCTTATGACTGACCGGTGAGGGTGTCGGACTGTATGACTCTGAGACCGTATGTGGTAAACTATATAATTGTCGTATGCCGGTGACTTGGGTGACACTGTGTGTGTATCCCTGTTATGTTCCTTAAAGGGGCTGTGTGACGGAGATAAATGGTGACTGTGACAGTGTGTGCTACTGTGTATGAGAGTATGGAGTGCCTTTGCTAGTGTGTGACTGAATGTCTCCAGAGTGAATGTTCAATTATGACTGGGTGATGTAGAATGTCATTGTTTGTGTGTGTCCCCCTGGAGTAGTGTGTGATTTTGACTGTATAGGGTATTTTGGGGTGATGGTGTGAAGAGTTTATGATTATAAGGGAATAACTGTGTCACAGTTGTGAGTAGATTGCCTGGCTCTGTGTGTCCTTTTTGTGTATGATTGTGACTGTATAAAGGTGTGTAGGTGGTTGTCTTAAGAATCAATGTATGCCCGGGCATGGTGGTGCACATGCAATCCCAGCGGCTCCGGTGGCTGAGTTAGGAGGATCACGATTTCAAACCCAGCCTCAGCAACAACGAGACACTAAGCAACTCAGTGAGACCCTGTCTCTAAATAAAATTTAAAAATGGGGATGTGGCTCAGTGGTCCAGTGCCTCTGAATTCAATCCCTGGGACCTCCCCCCACACACACACACAAAGTGAATGTATGGCTGGTTGTGGCACAGGACTGTAATCCCAGTCACTCCAGAGGCTGAGGCAGGAGGATCACAAGTTTAAAGCCAGCCTCAGCAATTTAGCGAGACTCTTTTTGCAAATAAAATGATTAAGTGCCCCTGGGTTCAATCCCTGGTACCAAAAAAAAAAAAAAAAAAGTGAATGTGTGATGTATGGTTGGGTTGGTGGGACACACCTGTAATCCCAGTGGCTTGGGAGCCTAATGCAGGAGAATGGCAAATTCAATGGAAGCCTCAGCAACTAAGGGATGCCCTAAGCAACTTAGGGAAAACTTGTCTCAAAAAAGGGGGAGGTGGGGCTGGAGATACAGCTCAGTGATAAAGCAACTCTGGGTCCAATCTCCGGTATTGCAAAACAGAAAAAGAGTAGATATGTGGTTATGCTCTGACCCCTTGCAGAACCTGTGAAATTAAAATATTCTGGCCCTGAAGCTAGGCACAATAGCTCTTGCTTGTAATCCCAGACTCGGAATACTGAGACAGAAGAATAGCAAATTCAAGGCAGCCTCAGCAACTAAGCAAGGCCCTAAGCAACTGAGACCCTGTCTCAAAAATAAAAAATAAAAAGGTCATAACTCTGTGGTAAAGAACCTCTGGGTTCAATCCCTACTACCAAAAAAAAAAAAAAATTGTGACCCTTGTAGAGGGCTCACTTTTTTTTTTTTTTTTTTTTTTTTTTTTT